GATACACACCATATGGCGGGTCATCACCTAGAGACGGTCACCACCTAGAGACTACAGCACGATACACACCATATAGCGGGTCACCACCTAGAGACTACAGCACGATACACACCATATAGCGGGCCATCACAGCACACGATACACACCATATAGCGGGTCACCACCTAGAGACTACAGCACGATACACACCATATAGCGGGTCACCACCTAGAGACTACAGCACGATACACACCATATAGCGGGTCACCACATAGAGACTACTGCACGATACACACCATATAGCGGATCATCACCTAGAGACTACAGCACGATACACACCATATAGCGGGTCACCACCTAGAGACTACAGCACGATACACACCATATAGCGGGTCACCACCTAGAGACTACAGCACGATACACACCATATAGCGGGTCACCACCTAGAGACTACAGCACGATACACACCATATAGCGGGTCACCACATAGAGACTACTGCACGATACACACCATATAGCGGATCATCACCTAGAGACTACAGCACGATACACACCATATAGCGGGTCACCACATAGAGACTACAGCACGATACACACCATATAGCGGGTCACCACCTAGAGACTACAGCACGATACACACCATATAGCGGGTCACCACATAGAGACTACAGCACGATACACACCATATAGCGGGTCACCACCTAGAGACTACAGCACGATACACACCATATAGCGGGTCACCACATAGAGACTACTGCACGATACACACCATATAGCGGATCATCACCTAGAGACTACAGCACGATACACACCATATAGCGGGTCACCACCTAGAGACAACAGCATGATACACACCATATAGCGGGTCACCACATAGAGACTACAGCACGATACACACCATATAGCGGGTCACCACCAAGAGACTACAGCACGATACACACCATATAGCGGGTCACCACATAGAGACTACTGCACGATACACACCATATAGCGGATCATCACCTAGAGACTACAGCACGATACACACCATATAGCGGGTCACCACATAGAGACTACAGCACGATACACACCATATAGCGGGCCACCACATAGAGACTGTCACCACCTAGAGACTGTCACCACCTAGAGACTACAGCATGATACACACCATATAGCGGGTCACCACATAGAGACTACAGCACGATACACACCATATAGCGGGTCACCACCTAGAGACTACAGCACGATACACACCATATAGCGGGTCACCACCTCGAGACTACAGCACGATACACACCATATAACGGGTCACCACATAGAGACTACAGCACGATACACACCATATAGCGGGTCACCACCTAGAGACTACAGCATGATACAAACCATATAGCGGGCCATCACCTAGAGACTACAGCACGATATACACCATATAGCGGGTAATCACCTTGAGACTACTGCATGATACACACCATATAGCGGATCATCACCTAGAGACTACAGCACGATACACACCATATAGCGGGTCACCATCTAAATACTACAGCACGATACACACCATATAGCGGGCCATCACCTAGAGACTACAGCACGATACACACCATATAGCGGGTAATCACCTAGAGACTACTGCATGATACACACCATATAGCGGATCATCACCTAGAGACTACAGCACGATACACACCATATAGCGGGTCATCACCTAGAGACTACAGCACGATACACACCATATAGCGGGTCACCACCTAGAGACTACAGCATGATACAAACCATATAGCGGGCCATCACCTAGAGACTACAGCACGATACACACCATATAGCGGGCCATCACCTAGCGACTACAGCACGATACACACAATATAGCGGGTCACCACACAAAGACCAAAGCACGATACACACCCTAGAGATTGTTACAACCAGAATACTAGAGAAAGATACACCATACAGCCCTTTCCCTCCCCCCTCCACCAATCCCTACAATATTACAATAAGAGACCATAACCATACAATCACTTGTCCCCACTTAAACGCTATAGCAGGTTTATACCTTAAACTACAGCACTATGAATTATTCTGCTAAACATCTCTGTGATAAAAATGTTCCTCCCTTCATATCGTGAAGGATGAGGATTACAGCAGTTTTCACTCGGCGTCCTCCTGGGCAGGAAAGTACTCGGGGTTAAATTTCATGTATAGCATTTGCTTTAAGTTATGATGTAGAGTTTTCGGCCAGTTTTTGGCCAGTTTTTTTTTATTGTAAAACATGGCCGGAGTCCCGGTCGAGCAAATACATTCATTGTGGTTTCTATACGAGCATTTTTTTTCATTCTCAAATCCCCTGAGAAAGAGAGATTTGTACCTGAGATGCTAAATGTCTAAACGTTCATTAGTACGAAAAGGGATGTTTTTGACTTTGTGATGTGTCTTTTAATTTTATGTTATATGGTATTGTTTTCACTTCAAATGTATAAATCACACCTCACGTATTAAGGTAAATAAACACGTGCTTAGTCTGGTTCTACTCTGGTATAAGACAAAAACCAGGCGAGGATTTGATATAGAAGTTACAGTTTGTCAACTGGATATATATGTATCTAAACCTCACTGAACCTCAGTGAAGCCACCATGGATAAGAACAGTCTGTAGACAATACGGAAGGTCTGTTATTTCCTAGGTAGCGGTTTCTCTCCTGATCGTAACAATTTATTTTTGTTTTACGGGTTTGACGTCTCGGCAACAGTAAGAGCCATATAAAGATGACTGACAAGAGGGACACCAAAAGTGCGGAAAATAAAGCAAGGAAAAAGATAGGAACGAACTGAAAATATCAATTTTCTAAGTTTTTTCTCTTTTATGTCCCGTTAGTAAAGGCCACTTAAGACCCCTCTCCCCTCCCCCGCCCTACCGGCCCACAAACCCGACTCTTCAGAGGTTGGGGTGGGAGAGGTACATCGAGATATATCAAACCTTTCCATGTCTCCAGTTCGGGTCCTTACCGTAAAGTAACACGATAGTCTGACAAATCAATTTTTACTTTGGTACATTCCGAATTCCAATGATATCAATCTAGGTTCAATAAAACGGTGTTGATCCAATATTGACAGAAACAACACCGCTAACCTTTGTGGAGCTATGGTTGCCGTGTAGGGGCTCACCTGTCTAAAATAATCATAATGTACAATAGAGAGCCGGAGACGGAACTCCAAATACGGCTTGCGTCACAGGTTTGATTTTCGTCTTAGGTCAGGTTTTGTGTTAAAAATCTGTCTTTTCCACTCAAAACTGTAGTGTTTACTTTTAATCCTTCAAATACTCAAAGCAAAAATACGAGACCACCCGAAAGGATCTTAAAGGTTGGTCGTGTAAGATCGATGACGAATGTAGTCAACAGTAATTCTTACGTACCTTGTCGTAATGTCAGCACACAGCAGAACAGCGGGTACCTCAGTGTACAAATATACACAGGTCAGACACATACTGCTACGCTGATTCAATTGGTTGAATAATTATGTAACATTTTGAAAGTAGCAGTCGTGTTCTCACTTAATATTTACCATAGCATCGATACAGTGAAACCTTACCATAGACAGTTGTGTATTAGAAGCTCATTATCTGGAATACTGCAAGTAAACAAGGCTATTTTCCATGTAACAAGATTAATGTTAAAAATGACATGTACCAAAGTGGTCATAGTTAGTGTTCCTGGGCGATAATAAAACAGTTCACGTCTTAAAAGTGTTTTATCTGTGATTTGATTAAAAATAGGGAATCAATGTGAATTTCACACAAGGTTTGATAAGTTTGGTTTTCGTCTGTTTCTACTTAACTACCTGTTCCTTTACTGCTAAAACACAACTTTATCGACAATTACAATCAGCATTTACAGTTGTAATAAATCACGTGAACAGAAACAGCATACGGAACTCATGTCACTATGAGGTGCTGCGGATGGCAATAAGATGGAGAGACTAACGGATAGGTGCATAGCTATTGACCCTTGTACTCAAGTGGTCAAACAACGTTTGTGAACGACTGGTCACTCGCTTCCTTAAGTCCAATGGTCAACACCTAGACCTATAAACATAAAGATATATAAACATTAGCTTGTGGAACAAATACAAATAGCGAGTCGGCGGCGACTTCTGGGACACGCGGATACTCCGAGGTTTACCACAAGTTGGTGTAAAACAGGTGGCACGTGCACATGTAAACCACTGCTTACGGTCATACCATATACATTTTATACACAAGAAATTTGTGAAATTAACTTTCTAGCTTCCGATTTCATTTAGAGAGACTCGTGGGTCTACATCACTATTTAAACGACGGTGTATCAAATAAAGTATGGAAACTGACGTAACCATTCAAAGAATCCGTAACATATATACATTTAATGTAACTACACTGCGTATAATTGCTAATTTATGTGTGCACGTGTGTCGTGTATTCGATGATATGTCTAAGTACGTAATAAAATATATTGAAAATCTTTGGATGTTGGATCAGTACTACCGCATCAAGTGTAAACACTGGCGAACTTCATACGTCTTAGAATCGTTTGGTTGATCATACAAACATTGTTATACTGGTAGGAATCGGGAGCAGTTTACTAATTTTTCACAACATAATGACAAAAATAGTTAAGTGTATGAAACTATACAATTGAATAACGATTATTTTGTAAACAAAATTCAATTACGTTTAATCATGAAACTGACGGTGCTGAGCTAAGCCGACTCGAAGAACATGTGCTTTGAACGCGAAAGAGAAAAAGACACGCCCACCGCTCGGCAATAGATTCCATTGTCAGCTTTCAGCCAATGGGATCGTTTGAGCAGGAAATCCGAACCGCCATTGATGTGGAGAGGTTAGCTGGTGTTGAAATTTACAATCGGCGCGGTCGCCCCGCCCCCTTCATTATCCAAAGCTAGGCTCAGTTAGAACTTCACCTATAGTAAAAAGAAAAGCTTACATACAACGGGAAAACGGCATGTGGGATCTACGAGAGAGACGTGGTTTTATTTCATATATAATAGACGAGAACTTGCTCAACACTGTCTAGTATTATCCAAAGACAGAATACGCCTCAAATGTGTCCATTTACACCATCGTAACATTACGAGCCTCAAAGTGATATAATGTATTTGGCGACTTTTTAAGAATGTCATGCAGTTACTTCGTCTGATGTGATATTTACATATAGAGAACACACATATCATGTTACAAGGTTTCATTTCGAATCTGGAAGTAAACAGAAAACGGTGACTTTCGAAGCTACCGGGCCATCTGGAGGAAATTTGGAATGTTTCTTGTTTAACTGTCGTCTGATCTATTGAATTGATTTTGGACGATCAGTTGGACTTAGTTTAGCGGACAGTGCTTAAAACTTAATCGGAATTACGATGGACAGTGCTTAAAAGTCGTCCAAAATATTTCAGCAACTGTTATCAGATAGCGACGTGAGGGACTTCACAGGGAGGTGTCAAGGTGATTGCGAAGTAATTTCGGACAATTATTGGGACTAAGTGTTACAGTGGACGGTGGTCAGTGGTCAGATAACGTGTCAGTAACAGTATATTAAACTCCAGTAACAGGGTTCATCAACAGATATCTGATGGAAAAGTGAAAGACTTCTGGAAGAGGCGTCAAGTGACGTTTTCGGCGTTACATGCTATCGGATTCATTGTTCACAGTGGGCAGCATTAAGTCTATGGTCAAGTTAGGCGTTTGGACAGAGGGGAGAGAGATGGTTGAAAAGTCAAATCTCGGACTTTCCGATCCGGGAGAGTTCCATAATAACAACCCACATTACCACGGAGAGGAACTCCAGTATCCGGATCATCATATTAGACGGGTAAGTCAACTTCCGCCCGGAATGTCATTACTTGGTGTGTGGCATCAATGGCTACTGCAAATATTACCCCAAACAATTGTAACGGAACTCCGAAATATTTTGTAAGCAATTATATAAATATAAATATACAAGTTTGTAAAGAAAGTATTAATAAATCTATTAATTAATTTAATTAGCCGTCTAACAGGTGGTATTTAAGCTGTCCACAATTCGTTGTCCCAGCGCCGTTGTTACAGACCGATTTACCAGCTTATTGAATAATAAAGTTAAAGTGAATTAACGCTGATGTTTATAAAACTCTAATCACAGCTTAAATAAGGACACGTAACAGCAGTATGGTGACCCGAGTTGAACACGTTGTAACATTATCTGGCCGATACAGTTACGATAATGAAGGGCAAAGGGTGTCTTGACTACGGCTGGATCTGATGTACATTCAAAAATAAATTTACACAGAATAAAAAGCAAAATAAATTATCTGTTTTTATGTAATTATTATAACAATAAAATTGGATAATTGAGTAAAACAGATTAAAATCTGTCTCTAACTCGTCAGTGATTTTAAAACATACTTGATGATGATATAAAGTTTGCCTTGAAAATCAACAAAATGTGATTGTTATAGAGTAAATTTACAAATACAATTGTTTGAATAAATATGTGCATTGTATACGGTAATAAGTAAGGATACTACCAGTTATTCTGTAGGATAAAGATGGTATGGTATTTCTATTGAATATTAAAAGAATAAATAATATACATGGAAATTAGTTTTAATAAACACGGCGCGGAATATGATGGAATTATTATTATAACGAAAATATAGAAGTAGATAAAAACAGTTAAAGATTTCTGTCATAAATGATTATTTAGTTTCTGATGTGATTAAGGTATTTTAAGTCTTACATGTTGTTATAGATTAAAACTTAACATACCCGTCTGTCAGGTTCTACCATCACAACATGATTAGTCTTTCTAAAAGTCGATACCATTACATTTTGAAAATTTTGTTATTTTACAAATTTAAGTCGATTGCTTTTGTGTATTGAATATGAAGAGGATTTCTATTTAAAAGTGGTTTTATATTTTTAATTCTCGTGTAAAATAACAGATTTTTGTAATCTTATAAAAAATCATTTAAAGAAAAAGACTTCACTCATTTGTTGTTTTTTTATGTTTCATTTCACACTGTTACACAGATAGGTGGAAAATGTTCAGATTGAAACACGATTAACCATCGCTTTCACACTACATATTGTCTGCTTAGTTTTTTCTGAATTTTATCCAAATATTTTAGTTTTTAGGGATTTTCTTATATAAACTATTTCAACCGATAACTTTTAGTGAATGTAGATAATTACTAGATATTGTGAAATATTATATCGATAAACTTATTTCCTTATTGAATTTATCAATGTGATTGGACCATTTATTATCGTGTTGTCATTGTTGTTAACATATTACGATGTGTCAGTCGTGTAGGAATTCTTGTAGCGACATTAATTTAATTTGATAGTGACAATACTATTCCTGCCCTCATCCTTCTTAATTGTTCGTCCTTTCTGTGATAACTCATTTTCTTGTTAATGTTAATTACCACTACCGAGATGTTGATATTTTCGGATAGCTCAATATTACACGTGTACGTACTTTGGTAAAAATACAATTTTATAAGGAATGTCAGTCTGACTCGACTTGACGACAGTGACAGATAGTCTTAAAGTTTGACACGGTGCCATTTAACTAAAATACAGAAATTCCGGAAGAATTTTTCAGACCGCGTTGATTTTATCATCACTATCTTTAAAAAAGCAGATGTCGTGGTCAGTTTGGGTGTAAAATGACCACCAGACTGGGTATATAAAGCTAGTAATGTGTTTGGATAATCTGATAGTGTGGTCAGTACATACGTTGGTAAATATGAATCCCTTGGGTTCTCGATAGCCGACCCCATCACTCCGGGGATTGGGAGAGGAGTTTCACACCTACTTTTCCAAAACAATAATTACATATCCCTAGTATTTTTACCCACATATCGTATACTGCACTGTATGCATAATTTTTTGTTTTGTTTTTTGTTTGTTTTTGTTTGTTTTTTTTATTTTGGTTTGAATTTTGTTTGTAACATTAATATTTGTGCATATGAACGTGCATGTTAATGTGAAATATTTCTTAACCAGAAAAAAATGTTTAAAAGAAAACAAAGCATATTGTTTTTAATATCGCAAACATTATTATCACTTAATCAACAAAAAAAAAGCAACTAATACATAGAATTTGTACTGTAATATAAATGATTTTTTACTAGATGACCTATAACGCTTTGTCCGGTCAGACCAGCTCGTGTGAACGTTAAAGTAAGGAAATAACTTGATATCATTTCAATGTGTTATTTATTGGAATATGTACCCACTGTAGTGTTACACAGAAAATCGCCTCTAATCAACTCCTAGGATTTTATCTTCCAGAAAAGCATTTGCGGTTCATACACGCCATTGACTAGAGATAAGTCATCGTTAGGTCATTATTTAACAATTCACACCAACACGGTAATTCTTATTTAATTACAAATTATATCAATGTTTTTATAATTCTATCGATATGTCTAATTAATGCAAGTGTGTCTGATCTCTACCCAGAGTGAAAAATTAACTTTAGATTTACCCAGATTCACAAATTAACTTTAAATCTATCTCGTGTTACAAATGAAGTTCAACTCTCCTCAGAGTGACAAATTAATTTTAAATCTACCTAAATTTAGATCTACCTAAATTAAGATCTTCCCCAGAATGACAAATTAAATGCAGATCTACCTGAATTTAGATCTACCCAACAGTAGATCTCCCCAGAAAGCCAAATTAAATGTAGATCTATCTAAGTTTAGATCTACCCAGAAAGATAAATTAAATGTTTATCTACCTAAATGTAGATCTACCTAAATTTACATTTCCCCAGAGTGACAAATTTACTGTAGATCTCCGCAGAGTGACAAAAATTCCACTGAGATAGTGGGACTATGATTTTAATGTTCGGAACGCTCTCAGCCTGTGATGTATCAAAGCCTTATCATGGAGCCGATATCGGAAGCCCTTCGGATCTAATAATTAAGGTTTTAGTCCAGCCTGACCCCGCTCTAATTATAGCCCTGTCTCTGTATCATTCAATGTCCCGTGATTGACGGAATATCGTTCACGCTGCTCTGAAGAGTTGGCAAACAAACGCTTTAACAATATTAGTGTGTAGCTGGAATGATTCTGATGGTAAGTGACAATGTTGTACGTCGGTGAACCGCCCTCCAACCGTATCTGCTGTAGGTTTTAGTAGCAAAAATTTTTTGTTATTTTCTGCATTTCAATTTTACTTCTCATAAATTCTTGTACAAAACTAAAAAGTATGAGGTTTTCGTGAAAATAAATATCAAGGGTATGTTATCTTAAGTCGAACGCCAAAATTAGTTTCTAATGTTACACGGGGTTGTTGATAATCTGACAGAAATAACTGGAAGCCAAGAGATTTTTTTTTGTTGAGTGGCACAAAGATGGACGTATTTGCATGATGATATCCGACAGACAACTCAACGAAATTTCATGGCGATGGAGAACCAAACCAGAAGAACGAATAGTGCTGAGTATATCTGGTTGAAGAGTACGGTAGATATACAACAGTACGGAGTACCCTAAAGATGAGTACCTAAGATTCAACAGTACGGAGTACCCTAAAGATGAGTACCTAAGATTCAACAGCACGGAGTACCCTAAAGATGAGTACCTAAGATTCAACAGTACGGAGTACCCTAAAGATGAGTACCTTAGATTCAACAGTACGAAGTACCCTAAAGATGAGTATCTAAGATTCAACAGTACGGAGTACCCTAAAGATGAGTACCTAAGATTCAACAGTACGGAGTACCCTAGATATGAGTACCTTAGATTCAACAGTACGGAGTACCCTAAAGATGAGTACTTTAGGTTCAACAGTACGGAGTACCCTAAAGATGAGCACCTTAGATTCAACAGTACGAAGTACCCTAAAGACGAGTACTTAAATGTATATTTTATAGAGTGATTGACCCTACCCTGGATCCACCAGACCAGTACCTTCGATCCAAAAGTATGGAGCCAGTCTAACAGACCAGTACCTTAGAGCCAACAGTACGGACTTCTGACAATGCAATGGAATCCGGCTGAATTTAGTAGGACCCAACAGTAGTAACGAATTCTTCATTGACCCCGAATACACATCCATCCATAATTAAGTATAATTATATTTTGATAAGGAACAGAGATTTAAAATGATTTCTGTGACAACAAGTTAAGCACCATTAGATTTACTGATTAAATGTACAATTGATGTAAATGATGAATAAAAATATTGGTTTATGTAAAATTTCCCGTTGTATTATTTCAAAGTAATCAAGAAAACATATTTTTTGTGAAAAGAGTATGAAGCGGCTGGGGACGGGGTATGAGGTTGGAGATGAGTGTTGTGTAACACGGGTATAAGCCGCGGGGACGGGTATTAGGGTGGGGGATGAGTGTTGTGTAACAGGGGTATAAGCCGCGGGGGGTGGGTATGAGGTTGGTAAATGAGTGTTGTGTGACAAGGGTTGAAGTGTGAGTCGACTGATGCTGTCGCCCTGTAGACCGCACTAAATCTATCACCACGTCAGATAGTAATCGGACCTTGTGGCACTAACGATACTGACATGGTTGATGAAACCTGTAGTCAAAAGTTCGGTCAACACATTATCCCACCACGGGAGAGATTCTATGCCCTCCAAGCAATGCAGGGGACACGCCTGCCTCCACGTACAACGACGTATGGAGGGCGGGATTCACTCCGTAGGTGCAGGAACGGATAGGAATATGCCGTCCTGTAAAGGAAAGTGAGCATATTTAAAACGCCAGCAATGTACCACTAATTGACAGTGATCACCTACAAGTTTCGCTACAAGAACAAGCTAAATTTGTGGTTTCCCCATTGTAAATACACTTCGAATCAGGTACAGAAAAGAAGTAGCAAGCTTTGTTTTTACATTTGATTATGATAGATTTTCATTTAAGAATTACCAAATTACTCAATACACACCGTGAGAACAGTGCAGAGGTCAACTGAGCAGTCGTATTATACCGGAAGTAATAAGTATCGCCACTTTGGCGTCATTGACAACGCGAACAGCAACAAAATAGTTCCGAGGTCAAATTATTAGTTTATGTAGGCAAACTTTGCAGATTTACAATCGGTTTAAGTAGTGACAAGACTGTGTACTCTTGCGCAAGCCTAATCGCTTTTCATAAATATCGATAAATACAAACATTTGGATTTGTAAGTTTCATCTAGAAACTATACAAATGCATGTGTTTATATAATGACTTTTAGTTAAAAAAAATAACGCACTCTCTTCTTATATTGACTGTTGGATGAATGATTCCTTTTACCACATCAATATCTACTTGATTATGCCCTTTTTAACAATAGCGCTATATGTGGTGTTTATTTCCTCGTTATGCTACAATTTATGGGTTTCAATGAAAATTATTCGTATTTTCACTCCACATAGAACCATTACATATAAAGGTTATTCCACAATGACATATATATATATGATCTGCATTCCCTCTTTATAACAATGTCCCCTCTTTACAGACGATGCCAGTCCTTAACAACGGTGAAATCCCGAGTTTCTGTGCCGGGTGCGGGGCCCGGATATTAGACAGGCACTATCTCCTAGCTGTGGATCGACAGTGGCACATGCAATGCCTCAAGTGTTGTGAATGCAAAATTCGATTGGATACAGAACTCACGTGTTTTGCACGAGATGGAAATATTTACTGTAAAGAAGATTATTACAGGTAAGTTCATCACAGGTAGAGTTTGCATTTGATTACAGGTAAGTACATCACAGGTAGTGTTTGCATTTGATTACAGGTAAGTACATCACAGGTAGAGTTTGCATTTGATTACAGGTGAGTACATCACAGGTAGAGTTTGCATTTGATTACAGGTAAGTACATCACAGGTAGTGTTTGCATTTGATTACAGGTAAGTACATCACAGGTAGAGTTTGCATTTGATTACAGGTAAGTACATCACAGGTAGTGTTTGCATTTGATTACAGGTAAGTACATCACAGGTAGTGTTTGCATTTGATTACAGGTAAGTACATCACAGGTAGAGTTTGCATTTGATTACAGGTAAGTACATCACAGGTAGTGTTTGCATTTGATTACAGGTAAGTACATCACAGGTAGATCTTACATTTTAGTACAGGTGAGTACATCACAGGTAGATCTTACATTTTATGACAGGTAAGTACATCACAGGTAGCTCTACTGGTAGATCTTTGATGTTTTTACATGTAAATACAATATACCAGACAATTTCTAAACTAATAACAATTATCAACATCTTCCAGATTATACTTTCTGTCCCAATTCTTAGATATTTTCAGTGGCATGGAAACAATTTTCACGTTGTACAAACATGCTAATGAGGTAATGACGTTAAATGTAGTTGGTGAAAACTCATTACATCAACAACGGTCGTTGAAGAAACTCACAATTCTACATAGATATCAAACCAAATCCCTTCTTAGTCAACCGAATACAATTTGTGTATCTTCATCCAACTCTAAATTCACTTCTTTACAACTGGAAATTATGAGCGCAGCCATGTTAAGTCAGTAATGTATACCAAACATTAATCCATTACCGAATAGACTAAACTTACCAACATCAGTGAGAAAAGCATTATCATTTTAGGCATTCTTGTATGATCATTATTTACAAATCGGGAGTAACTATGGCTTAGTAACCGGGCTAGATGCTCTAGAGGGAAGGTAGAGGACAAAATGGTAGCTGGACATCGACATGGCAAATAATTGGTGTACTCCGTTTGGTGTTCCAACTTGGACAGTGACAAATAAATCCGCTATTTTATGTTTCATAACACTTTAAAATATCAATAGATGAGATGTTAAATTATCTAAAACCGCATACCCCCCCCCCCCCCCCCCCCCTAGAAGTTGCTGTCTAATCTCACTACATTTTAGCCGATGGTATTTTGTAGAACGGTACGATGTCACAACTTCGGTATCAGTGACTACCTTAAAACAACCAATACTTTTGAACTAAAACGTTCAGTCCGGTCTGGTCACTAAAAGGCATGCTCTCCACTCATTACTGCCGTCGTGAATACTACACTCCCGCAAAAACAGAACCACATAACTTTTAGAGATATTATAAAGGGCTGTACCCTCAAACACCAATTAACAAAACATCAATTAAAACAGTTAAATATTTATGAACCTATTTGAAACAGGATATGAAGAGTCGATAATCAAAATCAAGGACATTAAAAAATGGAAAGAATTTTTTTAAAAAGTCCCTCAGTTATAAAGAAGTATTGGAGTATGGTCCTGGTGATAAAAGCATCAAATATGACGTTTTATGCAGGATTAGATCGATAGAATGAAATTTATAAAGAGTAATGCTGACTTGATCATCATCAAAGTTTTACCTGTGTCGTAACTTACATTGTCTTCCTCTCTATTGCGTCATTATCGGGTTTGCATTCTGTGCTTGGGAAGGCATTAATTAGACTCTGTTGTGAGTTGTTGAATGGTTGAATGTATGATTTTTTGTGTTGTATATACTGTATTTCAGATTTCAGGACCAGGGTAACTTTGATAATGTTATACCTTGGCACTGCTGTTCAACATAATGAATTCTCCGTGTCCGTAAATCACTACCAGTAACCTTACCCGCTCAAAGAATCCAAAAATTCCGGACCATAATGAAATTAATTAGTTTGTAATTAAAAATAATTGATGGCGTAACAGGTTGGAATCTGAACAGTTCAAACTGAAATTTTATACTTTTATTTTCCTTGTTGAATTACAGATAATAAGTCGCATGTCTTTTATGTTAATTTCCGTATTCGTAGACAATGAGAATCTAGACACATACCTTAAACAGAGATGTTTTCACTGATTTAACACTTACATTGAAGATGGCGTTTTTCTCTGTAGTGAAGGACAAATTTTTGTACAAAACGGCCGCCTATTCCTTTGTATATCAATAAACATATGACATTTAATTAATTTTTAAAAGTCATGAAGTTGATGATAGATAAGTAATTTGATTCTATTTCTATCATGAAGAGAGACACGTTGTATGATAAACACATTTAAATCGTCTAGAATTGCGTCTCCACCAATCATCTCTCCATCTAAACATAGAAACTTTCAGGTATGCAAGTAACAAAAAAAAATACAGTAATGGTAATGTTTAAATTCTGCGAAGGTGGCTTATACTAAAATATTTCAAAATTTTATTACATTTTTTTTTAACTTTATCACTGTTACAAAATTGCAAATATCACAATACCAAACTTATCTTACATTGTAAGAAAAGAAAAACATTATATACGACTTAACTGAGAGACAATAGAAGGAATTAATTTACTCGTCAATATGATATTATAAGTTCACCTCCCATTCCGGATTTTCACTTTTATTTTAAACACTTATTATTTCCTCAGTCATCTCCCAGGCTTCAAAAAATTAGGCCCTTAGCATCACTGACGAGTCCTTGATGAACGAAAACTACTCGGTGATGCAGTTTAATTCATTGTTTGGCCCTACTGTATCTAACTCTGTATTAAAAGGTGTGCTTCACTTGTGTGTCTTTTGTAAATTCTTGCAGAATATTACAATGTACAGGAAGTAATTGAAATTAATATATAAACATGAATCGTAACTTTTAAAAGAGACAGAGTTACTAATTTTATAGTGTACAGTAGGTAACTAGAATTAATATGTAACTAATTTCTACAACTTTTCATAAATTATCAATTGTAACTTTAAAATAGTAGAGTAGCTATTATCAAAATAATGTGACAAAATTTTTTTTTTCATTTTGAAACACGTTAATCTGCGTTTGGAAACAAAATCTAGCATTTAAATAGTTCTACATATCCTATAAAATGTCTCCACTTGTTGAGTGTGGATAACTTATAAAGAAAATCCGGTTACATATTTAAGATTAGGTTAAAATCACCAAGTAAAGACGTGTTTCTACAGACCTGTTTGTATATCAATTTTGAAGTATAAAAAAAAATTAACTCAAGTATCAAAGGACCGGTCTACGGAGAGTCTATTTCCGGATTGTTTTGTCCGATTATGGTTCAATATCCTGGGAGTATGGATGAACGATTACCGGGAGGGATGTTGTTAATGTGGGGTCGCCATCAAGGAACACGTCATCATTATATTTCCGCAGGAAATTTACAGACATAATTTGTCAATATTGAAAATACTACACACGCATCTTTATGATATCGATTTTGAAATCAATTACAACAACTATATCTTAATGAGAGAATGAAACTTTTCTCGATAAAACCACGTTGTTTTAGAATTCATTTTTCCGTTTCGTTTCCATAACTACCGCAAATCTAGACGACATTAGGTGACCTGTGGATATTTAGCATTTATTGAACGGAATATCGTCTATATTTTCACGGGTATGATAAAATGTTACATTTCTCTGGAGAATATTTTTAATGATATTATTTGCGTATGATATTTTTAAAGCGATAGATGTTTCAACCGTAAATAAATATTTCAACTGAAATCAAATTTGACAGCGAAAATTCGAAGTTACAACGCAAATTTTATATTTCCGTCTCTCAGAATTTATATCATGTAGGATTTTAGCTACAATTTTATGCATATTATGCTACACTATATATTTCTTTAAAATTCAGTGCTTAACATCAGAATTTTTTAAAATTAAAAAATGAAACATTGCTGCCTATTCACACTAGTCAACATACTAAAGTAAAACTAGGTAATATTGAATTCAGTATAAATGTGGTTATTTTTCTATAAAGAATCGAATCCCGAACAGACGAAAAACCTGCCTCACTGAAAGACACGGGGCACACTGGGAAATCAATGGAAACAGGATAATGTGTATTTAAGGGCTATAATTTCATAAGGCTCGCCTGACTGATTTTCTATGGCCCATTTCTTGGTAGGTGATAGTGTACTTGAGGATAAGCATATGATAGCTGTTGAGACCTTCGTACAGGTGGTCGGTAATATTTGGTCATTGTTGACACTGATGTAAATACTACCCGTCTGTTTGCCGACTGTAAAACTGGTACGCAGTTTGTGCGTATACAATTTTATTGGTGCATATAATTGAGTTTTATTTTTTTTTTTTTGGTAAATGTAATAAATGTGTTATTGTGCATAATAAAAGTGTTTGTCATTTCAGCACAATTTCGGAAATAATATCTCTGTTTTTTTTTCAGATACACAAAATGTAAATACATTCAGTTTGATGTTTGTTGTAATATCGCGGACACATAAAATATATTTTATTTGCTGTGTGCCGATATCCTGCATCGTATATCGTTTTCCGTAGTGATATTAATTTATATACATCATTTTTGTCTATAAATATGTTGTAAACTTGTCAGAAAAATAATTCGATTTGTTTATTACATCAACATGACAGCTGACTGGTAGAACTTTATTTTTGTCCATGTTGAATCTAGATGATGAATCAGATAATATTGTATCGATAGAAGATATGAAAAATCTTCCCTTTTTTTTGATAACACACATAAACATTGTATCTTTTCTAATTAAAAAAATGTTTTGAAGAAAGTTTTTGGTGAACATTAAATATGTTTCTCTTTAGAATTGAAGATGTTGAATGTTAAAGATGTATTTTAAAATGTGTTTAAAATTCTACCGAATTATTTCCACAGCGTCATCGTAACTAGCTTTAAACATACCGAAATACTATATTTGAATTCACATCAAAATTTAATTTCCAGG